GAATTTCCTGACATGCTCTTACGCCACGGTTACTGAGGTGTTTATGTAACATCTTATGATGATTGATAAACGATTTTTAAAAAATAGCGAGAGAAGAGCAAACTGTTCATACAGAATGTATGACCACATACACTCACATGTTTATCATGTTCAGCAGTTATTAAACATCCTCTATCAGGGTCTTCAGGTCTGTTTCAGTTTGGTGCATTTTGTAAACCCAAGATTAAAAATTTTATTTGAATATTTATACTTTGTGACACTTTTTGTGACACAAATTGTTGTGCACCTAATACCGTCACATTCAGTAATATCTGTGTTTTACTTGAGGACTTGTAGATCTTTACAAAAATTTTATTGTACATTACAGATAATGTAGTGACAAAGTTTGAACATGGATTTAAACACAGTAACTAGCAGTAACTTCAGGACATGCAGCACAGCCAAAAGCCTTCATCATCAAATAAACTTACTTAGTGATCCGTGTAGCATGTCTACTTAGATTTTAATAAACTTAATTTCTTAATTTTAATTAATACAAATGATGAAATTTTATATTCAGAGAATATTAATTCATAAATCTTGTTTCCACCCGAGATTCCGTTCGCCCAGGGTCTCGGTTAATAATTATATAATTATTCACTAGTGATCAGTTAATAATAATAAGTTAATTATTGCTCAGTTATCTTAAATCAGTCATCTCATATCGAAGGGGTAAATTCTCGTGACAGGGACTTGGAGTTAAGCAATATACACACACAGTTCCTGTGATTACGGTGAAATTTAAGGTCTTTTGTCTTACTGAAACCTGGCTGGGTGATGGAGAATATGTTAGCCTAAATGAATCCACCCCTCCCAGTCATATTAATACTCACATTCCTCGAGGCACAGGCCGAGGAGGTGGAGTTGCAGCTATCTTTGACTCTACCCTACTAATCAGCTCTAAACCTAAACTAAATTATAACTCATTTGAAAGCCTTGTTCTTGGTCTTTCGCACCCAAGTTGGAAATCACTGCAACCAATTCTCTTCGTTATAGTGTACTGAGCACCTGGCCCGTACTCTGAATTCTTATCTGAATTTACAGAGTTTTTGTCAACTTTAGTCCTTAAAACGGACAAAGTTATTATTGTAGGGGATTTTAATATTCACGTGGACGTTGAGAATGACAGCTTCAGTACTGCGTTTATCTCTCTGTTAGATTCCATTGGCTTTTCTCAGAGTGTTCATGAACCGACTCACTGTTTTAACCACACCCTCGACCTTGTTTTGGTGTATGGTATTGAAATTGAACATTTAGTGGTGTTCTCACAGAATCCCTCTTTGTCCAACCACTGTTTGATAACTTTTGAGTTTGTATTGCTGAACTACACGCCATTGGGCAAAAATTTCTATACAAGATGTCTGTCTGATAGTGCTGGAGCTAAATTTAAGGATGCGATTCCATCAGCTCTAAATTCATTATCAAGTCACGAAGTAACGGAGGACTCCTATGCTAATTTCAGTCCCTCCCAAATCGATCATCTTGTTGATAGTGCTGCAGGCTCGACTCTGTAGCCCCTCTAAAAAAGAAAATAATAAAACAAAGATGGTTAGCTCCATGGTATAATACTGAAACTCGCAAATTAAAGCAAATATCGCGAAAACTTGAGAGGAATTGGCGTTCCACCAAACTGGAAAATTCTCGTTTAATTTGGCAAGATAGTCTTAAAACTTATAGGGGGCCCTCCGTAATGCCAGAGCAGCGTACTACTAGTCATTAATAGAGGAAAATAGGAACAACCCCAGGTTTCTTTTCAGCACTGCCAGGCTGACAGAGAGTCATAGCTCTATTGAGCCAGGGTATTCCCATAGCCCTCAGTAGTTACGACTTCGAGCTTTTTTAATGATAAAATTATAACTGTTAGAAACAAAATTCACCAAGACCTGCCCTCAACTGGCACCAACTTATCTCTAAACTCAGGAACCTTAGAAGCAGCTGTAAAACCAGATATATGTTTAGACTGCTTTGCTTCCCTCAATCTTTACCAACTAACTTCAATGATTTCTTCATCTAAACCATCAACCTGCCTCTTAGACCCCATCCCGACTAGGCTGCTTATCGAAGTTTTACCCTTAGTCAGCACTATACTAGATATGATCAATCTATCTTTATCAACAGGCTATGTACCACAGTACTTTAAAGTAGCTGTAATTAAACCTCTTCTGAAAAAGCCCAAACTTGATCTGGATGTTTTAGCCAACTATAGACCTATATCTAACCTTCCATTTCTCTCTAAGATCCTGGAGAAAGCAGTTGCTAAACAGCTGTGACTTTCTACAGAGCAATAGTTTATTTGAGGATTTTCAGTCAGGATTTAGAGTTCATCATAGCACAGCACTGGTGAAAATGACTAACAACCTCCTTATTGCATCAGACAAAGGACTTGTCTCTGTACTGGTTTTATTAGATCTTAGTGCTGCATTTGATACCATTGACCATCAGATCCTATTGCAGAGACTGGAACATTTCATTGGCATTAAAGGAACCGCTCTAAGCTGGTTTAAGTCTTATTTATCAGATCGATTTCAGTTTGTACATGTTAACGATGAGTCCTCCATGCGCGACAAAGTTAGTCATGGAGTTCCACAAGGATCTGTCCTCGGACCAATCCTGTTCACTTTATATATGCTTCCTTTAGGCAATATTATCAGGAAATATTCCATAAGCTTTCATTGTTATGCAGATGATGAGTTATATCTATCGATCAAACCAGATGAAACTCATTAGTTAGCTAAACTTCAAATGTGCCTTCGGGATGTTAAAACCTGGATGACCTGTAATTTTCTTATGTTAAATCAGAAAAACTGAAGTTATTGTTCTGGGTCCTAAGCACCTCCATGACGCATTATCTAAAGATATAGTTTCCCTTGATGGCATCCCCCTGGCCTCCAGCACCACTGTGAGGAATATTGGAGTTATCTTTGATCAGGACATGCCATTTAAGTCTCACATTAAGCAAATTTCAAGGACTGCCTTTTTTCACCTACATAATATTGCGAAAATCAGGAACATCCTGTCTAAAAATGATGCAGAAAAACTAGTCCATGCATTTGTTACTTCTAGGCTGGATTACTGCAATTCCTTATTATCAGGCTGCTTGAAAAAGTCTATTAAGACACTTCAGCTGATCCAGAATGGTGCAGCACGTGTTCTGACAGGAACCAGGAAAAGAGATCATATTTCTCCTGTCTTAGCTTCTCTGCATTGGCTTCCAGTAAAATCCAGAATAGAATTTAAAATCATTCTTCTTACCTACAAAGCTCTTAATGGTCAGGCACCATCTTATCTTAAAGAGCTCATAGTACCTTACTACCCCACCAGAGCACTGCGCTCCCACTTGTGGTTCCTAGAGTCTCCAAAAGTAGACTAGGAGCCAGAGCGTTCAGCTATCAAGCTCCTCTCCTGTGGAACCATTTTCCAGTTTGGGTTCAGGAGGCAGACACCATCTCCACATTTAAGAGTAGGCTTAAGACTTTCCTCTTTGATAAAGCTTATAGTTAGGGCTGGCTCAGGTAGTCCTGAACCATCCCTTAGTTATGCTGCTATAGGCCTAGACTGCCGGGGGATTTCCTATGACGCATGAGCTCCTCTCTTCTCTACTTTCTCTCCCTCTGTATGCAACCTCATCCCATTATTGCATGTTACTAACACAACTTCTCCCCTTTCTGGTAGTCTTGTGCTTTCTCATCCCTCTCCTCTCTCCTCCTATCACTTCCTGCAGGTGTTTCTGGCTCTGGAGCTGTGGAGTCTGGATCTGTGGCTGCGGGTCACCTGCTGCCCCCGTGTTCCTGCTCGACACCCTCTGCTGCAACGACTATTGTTACTAGTCCTGTTGTTATTATTGTTATTATAATCATTAACATTACGATTGTTATCATTAACACTAGTATAAATATCTGTACCATTTTTCATTTAGTCTATAGCAACATTACCTTTACTGTCTGTACCTCTGTGTGTATATTGTGTAGGCTGCCTCCCTCCCCTCTCTCTCTCCTTCCATCCCTCTCTTTTTCTCTCTGTTCCTCTCCTGCCCTCTCCCTCTCTCTCTCTCTCCCCTCTCTCTCCTCACCCCAACCGGTCGAGGCAGATGGCCGCCCACCCTGAGCCATGGTTCTGCTTGAGGTTCTGCCTCTTAAAAGGAAGTTTTTCCTTGCCTCTGTCGCCTAGTGCTTGCTCTTGGTGGGAACTGTTGGGCTTCTGTAAATAGCATCATAGAGTACGGTCTAGACCTGCTCTTTTATGAAAAGCGCTGTGAGATAACTGTTGTTGTGATTTGGCGCTATATAAATAATATTTAATTGAAATTGAATTGAATTAAAGGAAGTGTCAGAAAGCATTGGTTACAGCATAAAATGAAGAAGTGTCAGGGATCCTTGCTGCAAATTAAAACACTGCAAAATTAACTATTTAGATTCTTTTCAACAACAACTATCAACAACAACATGTTCACATAACTACTCAAATGGAGTGGAGAGACCAAGTTAAGTAATTTAAAGATTATTTAATTAAACAAGGTAATGCTTTGAGTTTTGAGGAGACAGTACTCTTGTTTACACAAAGAGTTCAGGGCTGTCCTCTGGTGTTCTAGAGTTTCTCACATCTGGGCGTGAAGAGGAGAATATCCTTTGATGTGGGGTAATTAAACAAAGAGGGAGGCCAGTTGCCATGGTTACGTGTGCGGGGGCAGTTTAGGGTTTCCTGCCCTCTCTTAAAAAGAGTTCTGATAGGCTATTCAGGAGAAAGAAAATGTCTGATTAGTGTTTCTTTGTCATTTAACAGTCAGGCACAGAGCCTTGTCTCGGCTGCTGCCAAAAGGTGACCAGTTTTATGATTGAACTGCCCAGAAACAGCCCTTAGGGAAAGCAAACCTTTCACCTCCTCCTTGGTTGCTTCAGCTGTCTGTTGAGGGTTGATATCTCAAACCCCTCCTTTTCTTTCTCTCAGGGAGAGAGAAAGAAAATGTCTGATTAGTGTTTCTTTGTCATTTTAACAGTCAGGCACAGAGCCTTGTCTCGGCTGCTGCCAAAAGGTGACCAGTTTTATGATCGAACTGCCCAGAAACAGCCCTTAGGGAAAGCAAACCTTTCACCTCCTCCTTTGGTTGCTTCAGCTGTCTGTTGAGGGTTGATATCTCAAACCCCCTCCTTTCTTTCTCTCAGGGAGAGAGAAAGACTTTGGGATCTCCAAATTTATTTGATATAAAATGCACAAATCCACACTGGCTCCATCACAACATCCGACTGGATTTCCATTTAACGCCTTGTTAAAAACAGGCTTCCAGGAGTTCAAGTTCCACAAAAAATTTTGGCATGTGGACTACCTCTCCTCCTACCACACGCTGCTTTGGTTCTTCACCTGTACCCACCTGGAGCTGTACCTGCAGACTATCCAGCTTCCCTGCTTTTATCAGTCACCATTTGTCCATCATGTTGTAGTTCAGATTGAATCTTTCTTCTGTTCCAGCTCTTTGTTCTGGTTTATGACAGATGAAGTCCAGTTTCAGTCTGTCTGTGTTCAGATCCAGCCGTAAGCTCTGTGACCACCACAGAAGAAGAAAGAAGCCTACATGTACAGTCACATGAAGATGATTGACTGGAAGTCTGCAGCTTGCTCCACGTTGTTATTCCAGGCTGACTTCAGTCTCTGTACAGTAACATATGTTTGAGATAATGATCCAGACTGTAGACCAGCACTTCTGTAGAGTGTTCAGCTTGTAGCGCCGTGTGCAGGACATTCACCTGGTATTTCTTCTCCATTCACGTTTCTGTTCTGTGAAAATTTGATAAATGAGTGATGTTATTTAATTACTTAGAAGAAAAATCATTTCTACTTCCTACTGTACATAACAGTAAAATGGACTCAGACTGGTTTCTTTTATACAAACACTGCTGGATGCGCATGCAGCCAGGGGGTCAAAGCGCTTTGGTAGCCGGTCAGAAGACTGTAGTAAACAACTGTAATCAACGTAGATTAGGCATTGTTTGTAAATTCTTGTTGACTCAATAATAAACTCTGTTGTTAGCGTTTCATTTCGCATGTTAATATATCAGGTGCAACCGCTCTGCAGGTCAGCGGAACCAGAACTTATGTTGTTCAAGTCAGCTGCTAGCCAAAAAACTAAAGGAAGAATGGAGAAAGAAGGAGAGGCGTTCTTTCCACAGCTGTAAGTAACGTTCTGCCATTAGGCCGAGCTGTGTCACACTCAGAGATGCAAAGAACATGGTCTTCTGTTGTAAACTCTGTGCGACCAGCAAAACGCTTTCAACTGTGAACAATTTTGTATTGAAGCATCTGCTAAAGCAGCACAGCAACGTGAAACTTGAGCCTGTAGAAATAAACTCCGGCAGCTAACGTTTCTGCCAGTGAAGTATCCACTCAGCAGGAGAGAGTGGCGTTAATCAACGTTTTGTGTTTTGTAAAAGCACTGAATGCTTCTCTTATAAATGCATTTGCAAAATGTTAGTTCAAATTTGAGACACTTGCTTGATTTTTCTGATCTCTGACAGTGGCATTAAAAAAAAAAAATCATACTCATGGCTGCTGTTATGAACACGCGATTAGTTAAAATCTGGAGGGACCTGCTTTGTTTTTTTAAAATTATTTTTAAATAGCCTATATCCATAGCTTATATGATAGAGCATCCTCTGGTCTGAGAGGCTGCAGTGTTTTCAGTTCGGCTGGTTGTTGACTTTAGGTTAACTATTGTTCCAGTAAAGTGGATTTATTTCTAAAATGCACTGCTGAACAGGCTTCCCGTCACTTTTAAAGATGGGGTGCGATGGTTGAAAGTAATTGTAATGTAACGAGTAATGTGACTATTTACCATTAATACCCAGTAATATGTAAAGTACTAGGGGAGAGCTGGGACAAGCCCACAAAAGTCTGAAATGCCAAACTACCTCGGCACGTACATTGGTTTTTAAATGAGTATAAAGTAACTCATTACAATTTCTGAGTAATTTGTCCAACACTGCTGCTAGATATGCTTTTCTGCCCCATAGTTGCGCACACATCTCTGTGATGACGTTGCACAGAAACCCGTCTATAGTAAAGAGTATAGAACATACCTGTTGGGGATTGTTTGCATCTGGTTTTCTTCTTGTAATAAAACGTTCCAGTTGTGGAATGTCTTCTGTAATAAAACATTACAAATAAACACCTTAATCAACAACTTAATGATGTGACAGTGTTTTTATTATCTAAATACAAATCATACCTGTGTTTAGACGTCCTTTCTTCTTTTTGACATAGCAAAAAGCAAGTATTACAATTAATAAACAAAGAATCCCCCCAACAGCAGCACCGATCACAACTCCTGTCCTGTCTGAACTTTGTTCTCCACATTCAGCATCGGTTGAAGCAGTTCCTGCTTTCAGGTTTATTGATTCACATCTGGAATGATAGAGGGACATTTTTACAGCAACATTTGTAGGAAACCATGAATTCACTGCTGCTGGAAGACTTCAGATGTCTGATGTGAAGCTTCTCTTACTGTGTGTGCGGCTGACAGGACGTAAATGTCCCATCTGAAAATGTTCCAACGCTGCAGTCAGAGCACTTTGTGTCTGTGAATGCTGTTCCTGTACAAACACAGATTAGAGATATTGAAACCAGTTCAGTTTTCATATATATATATTCATATATATATTCATCAGACTGATCTGATGAAATGTAAGGACGGTTTAATTTCAGCGGATTTAAAAAAACACGACCCAAAACATAATCTTCCATTTTTTTTATGTTTTAGGAAAAACATTTTTTTTTTTTGAGGTTTTGACGAGATGTTCATTTTTCTCATAACTACAGATTGAAATGGGATTTGAATCACTGTAAAGGACAGCAGACTCATAAACAAACTGACCACAGTTTGAGAGAACACTGGAAGTATTCAAACATCTTGAGGTTCAGTGTCATAATGTAATTTAAAATAATATAAAACTACTAGGGCGTTGCGGTAGTACAGTGCTTAGCTTTGTCGCCTCACAGAAAGAAGGTTTTGGGTTCGAACCCTGGTTGCCCTGGCTTTTCTGTGTGGAATCGCACCTTTCGCCCGATGTCAGCTGGGATTGGCTGCAGCCCCCCACGACCCTGTACGCAGGATAAGCGGTTAACAATGGATGGAAGGATGGATGGATAAAACTACTAATATGTTGATGTCAGTTGACAACTGTCAAGAAATGATATAAATTCCACTTTTAAACTTTTCTCTTCTGGCCAGTGTAACATCCACTTCTCTGGGTAACAGTTGTAATCACATGAAAACAAGTTTTTTCCCCAAACAAATGATCCTGACAGAGAGAATTCTTCTGCTTTGTTAACTCTTAAACTAATGTTGTCCATGTAAATTTTAGAATTCACATTTTCCTAGTTAATCTTTAAGTAATTGATTGATCATCCGAAAGTTCCCTTAACGGCTTCAGGCTGACTGAATCACTCAACTGGTCTGAACAGTTTCTGCAGATTTATGGTGGAGCTTCTGTTCTGCTATCTTGTGGTCAGAAATAACCACTTGCAGCTTTAATGAGGAAGTTGTCATTAAGTTACGTTTCTCATTTAAAACTTAAACTACAGTTAGAAGCTTAAAGTCAGCACAAGGAAACCAACCTTTCTGGCTGATGTATTGTCCTGGTTGACAGCTTGTGTGTCTCTGTGCTGCCCTGCAGCCGTTCCCTGTAGAGTCCAGACAATAGAATCCCTCCAGTGGTTCACAAACTGCATCTGATGTTGTTGTACATGACGTATTTATCTTCAAACCAGAACCTGTCAGCACATATAGAGGTTACATATGGAGATACTACACTTTTAATCTTCTAGACCAACATGCACATTTTTTCAGGCTTAAAAAATACAGAGGGAAATACAGAGTAGAGCAAAGACATATGCTTACTAACTAAATTTCTACTAATAATTAGGAAATAATAACAGAAATCTACCTGCATCACAGGTTGAACAAAGAAAACACTCTGGTCGTCCAGTCTGCTGATTCATGAAGGTTCCCTCAGTGCAGGGCAGACAGGAAGTCCGTATGAAATCTGTACAATCTGTTTTAACTCGACTTCCTGTTGAAAAGGAAACAATTATTTGCAATATAACGTTTCCATTAAATGAAAATATGAAATCTAAGAGGGTGAAGCACATGCTGTGAGCTCTGCACAGTGACAAAGTGGCAATGATGGTGTGGTTAATTCTGGTAATCATTGTTGGCACCTGAAAGTTAACAAAAACACTCCAGATGTTAAGTGAAATATGTCTTTAACATTCAGTTGGATCTTACCAGCAGGACAAACAGGGCAGCATTCATTCCCTGTCTGATACTCTCCTCGAAGACATGTGAGGCTGTGTCCTGTGCAGACATTCATCACAAGTATCTGTGAAGAGAATGAAAAAGGGTTTTGTCTCAGTGAAGCCTGGTTGAAATGAAGTCAAACTGCAAATCAAATACATGGATAGAAGCTGTTGAACTAAACTCAGATAGAAACCAGCAGCACTTTGTGTTTGTGTAGATCTATTTCAGTCAGCCAGATAGTTAGAGGTCCAAAAGATACTAAATAAAACCACATCAGCTAAAGTACAGATTCTACTATAACATTAGGAGGTCCCATCATTTAACCTTTGCAGGTGAGTGTCACGGCTGTCGCTGTCACTTTTGTGTTTCCCCTTTTCTGTCTCACCTCTACCAAGTAGGCTGTGTCCCTGTGGAAAGAAGACCCGCCTACTTCCTGGTTTCTGGGGGTGCTGACTTCAGTCCCACCCATTGGTTCCCCTGTTCCCGCTCAACCAATGGCTGGTCACCACATTGATTACCTCGTACTCATAAGGAGAGTCCACCTGTTGCTCGAGGCAGCTTGTCACTGCCTATTGACTTGTGTACTTTGCTGTTAGCTGTACATTGTGTGTAGTGGAGAAATTCACTTAGTATTTTTGTTTAATATTGAGTTAGTTTTCCTCAGGTGTAGTGGGTGCTGTGCTCTTTGTGTTCTTTTGTAGCAAGAATTAACCCTGTTTAAATATATAGATAGGTACAGGCCTCCTTTTGAGGACCTCTTATTTTAACTTGGTTTGTTGTTTTCGCAGCACCCTCATCCACCCTCCTTTGTTTATTGTTACCTGTCTGCATCTCCGGGTTACCACTAAAAGTTACCTTTTTAAGATCTATACCAGTTTTGCCTATATGTTTATGGCCCCCACTCCCCTAGACCAGCAGGAAGTCACGTGAGAGTTAATGAGGTCATATTTGTGTCATCAGAGTCATAAGAGTGAAGTCATCGTGTGGACCGGCACGTAAAAGGCAGAGTTTAAATATTACATTCTTATCAAGCAGCTTCACCTCAGAGTTGTCAACAGGTGAGTCTATTAAGGTGAAGGAACACCAGTGTTTCCCATATATACTGTAGAATGTATTTTCCCTTTTCACTCAATGTATTTATTTTGTATTTCTTCATTTCAAAACTGCTTTGAAATGTTTTCTTTTGTGCACAACCCCCACCTTCATCCTATCACTGGAAAGGAACTTTCCACTTTCCCACTAGTACTATTAAACAGCTCCATCTTCACCTTCACCACATCATCTTTCTTCTGTTACAGAGGTTAACAGCAGAGCAGATGCTCATCACTCAGCAGAGCTGATGATCAGAAAACCTAAAATCTTTTTTCTTTCTTGACACTGAAATGTTTGTCGATGTTAGAGAGACATTATCATAAAGGAAAACATTTAAACAAAGAAGGAAAAGTTGGACGGGAGGAGTAAAGTGATGCATGAACTGCTGCCATGAAAGCTTGCTGTAGTACCAGTCCGCTAGTCCACCACGTGGCACTGTGAGGTTGTTTCCAGTTCAGTTAGGCACATTGCAGAAGTAATGCAGAAATGTTGTAACTAGGCTGTCGGGTTCTTATGCAAGTTGATAAAAATGATTTTACCATCAATGCTGCAGGTGCCAGAGGTTTTCTTCTAAACATCATTTTGTACAGCAGGGGGAAAAATCAGGGGACAGGGACATCATCTGAAAGAAAAAGAAACATATCCATGTAGAGATTACACTAACTGCTAAGCAAACTGTTTATCAGAATCAGAAAAAAGAATCAGAAATCCTTTATTGATCCCCGAGGGGATGTTGCTGTGTCACAGTTGCTTAAGTTGATAATGTAGACATTAAAGAAATAAAAATATAACCTAATTTGCTAAAGTCAATAGACCAGCAAAAACTTCCTGTTCTTTCAGCTGAAACCTGGTTTGAGTTCAGCTCCGTAAAAAAAGTAACAAAACGCTTTTTTCAACAGAAACGCTGGTGAATTGAACGCACTGTTGTGCACGCAAGTGCAGTGCACTTTACTGCCTTTTCAACAGAGCTGTGTTTACATACTTGTCGCACCTGATTGGGTCACACCTCTGACACGCCCACTAAACATTCCTTGAAGCCCGTTGTGCAACGTTTCAAATTTCCTTGCAACAAAACTTGCAAACTGGTGCAAAACATTTTGAGGATGAACTCGCCTCTGTTCTTTAAACCAGGTCTATCTCAGAAACTCCACCGTCAGGCTAAGCCAATCAGAGGCACGGTCACGCCTTCTTCAAGCGCTTGGTGTGAATGCTCCCAAAACTACCAAAAAACCTTAAAAGTAGCATGGGCCCTATTAAGGGGGTACAAAAGAGGCAGGACAGTACAATACAAACAGGCCACAGTGTCCACGCTGGTGCTGTTTGCTGCATGAGACGAGAACGGGTGCTTAGCAGTGAGGAGTGAAATTGAGGCTTAGACGAAAGGAAGTATTATCTTAAAAAGAGAAAGATGAAACTTAAAACTTGAAATTATAAGAATTAGGAATTAAAGCTGCTAACAGCGTTGGACGGGCCCTCGCACCGAGACGTGTCATGGGGGTTGTATTGTGCGTGGCGCGGATGCCAAAGTTTGTGAACGCGGCTTTGAATTATCACTCGCTTTGTACGGCTCACAAAGAAGTTAAACGTCACTTCCTGTGTCCCCTATGTGGCGCTAGAGAGCACCTGCTAATTACACGTTATATCCCAGTATGTGAAGTGTGGACCACACTGTGAAAATTTCATGCAAATCAAATGATGATTACAAAAGAGGGCTTACTTCCTGTTGCTAGTAGGTGGCGCTCTCACTATAACTGAATACTGGCATGTAGATGTGTTCATGGTGGGACCGTTATGAAGCATGTAAAGTTTTGCATGTACAGTACAACAACTTCCTGTTTCATGACGAATCATTGATTTCAAACGCCCGCCACGGACACACATAGTAGCCTAATGATTCATTCAAACAACAATTAACTGATTCATTTTGTTCTTATAACATTTTAGAGATTTTAATATACATTTTGATTTGACTTTCTCATGAATGTATGTGCTGTTAAAACACAAAGACAAGGAGGGACTTGCAGACACTGATTGACACTGACTCGCTGTTAACTTAATAGGAGTTTTTTTTATTTCTCCAGAGGAACGCAACTTTGCAATCAGATTTAGCAGTGAGGAAATATTCCTGAGTTTAGCCCACAATCACTATCATGCACCTTAGAGACTTTGCCGTGGATCGGGCGTATTCAGAAGAAAACAGAGTGAATTTCGATTTTTATTACATTAATTTCATGAAATTTCGATTTTCTTCTTGTAAATTTCTTACTTTAATCTAGCTCACTGAATGTCTGAACGTAATGCTGTTGTGTTCAGAACTTCATTTCAACCTCAGTGGAAATAATCAGGATGAAATCTAAACATATTTTATGAAGTGGTGTGTATTAATATCCTACTTCTCATCATTAACGCTGATTATAGACGTGGTGGGTAGTCCCCGTGCAGGGTAACCTCGAGTTTAGGTCTAGTTTGGAATCGACGTAATCGATTACGTAAATACTGCATCCAGTGTGGGACAGTCTAAGGGGGCTTTCACACCTACCTCGTTTGGTCCGGGCTTTCGGACTTTTCAGTTTGGTCTGAACCACACTTGCAGGTGTGAAAACTCCTGCAAAACTCGGATCAACCTTAACCATGGTTCGGTTAGTTTCTGGTGTGAAAGCATTTTTTGGATGGTTTGGACTTTCAGACTATTTAGCCTGCAGGAAGTTCGGCGGTTGCCGTTTAAACCAGAAACAAATAAATGCACGGAGAAATGCATCTAGATATGGACACAATTATAAATCTCCTGTGACAGCTCATCTTTTGATACAGACGGCCACTAGGCCTATAGTATCACACTGCCACCATCTCTCAACGAGGACGTTTAATTGTGAATTTGAACTAGCTTTCAGTATAGTTGGTGCTGCAGGTAGAAACCTAATACCATAATAATAACAATGCAGTGTTTCCCATACGTTCATTTATTTGTAGCGGCCCACCATAATATCAACGCTGACTACCACACATTGATTTTCAATTTTTTTTTTTTACGAAGCCTATTAAAAATCGTATTTGATTGCAGAGCGCCGTAGCGCATTTGCGCAACGCTGTCAATGTCGGAGACCCGGCTTAAAAAAAGCAGCATGTAAGGAGCCTAGCTAATAAGGAGAGCTAAGTTAATGTTATAATACATCTGGATTTTCGAGACTAGCACACTGTATATAGCTGTTGTCAATATCGATGCACGCCAGCACGCACTTGTGCACACACCCCCCTCCTGCCACAGTTACACTGTCATTCTGTAGGAAACACTGCAATGTAGTGGCAAATATGAATATGTAAATTTTTTATTCATTCATTCTTGTCAAAGCTCCCCGCTGAACTGTTTAATAAACAAAATCAATGTCAAGTAACCTACAGGGAGACACAGCCAACGTAGATGATGACGACAGGATGCAGGTCTCTCATGTAAAGTCCTTTAGTGCGGTCGCAGAATTACAGTGTGAAACCAAACCAAAACTAACCGAATGTATCAAAATGTATCAAAACATGAACTTTGGTTCGGACCTTGGTGCGGACTTTCAGGTGTGAAAGCCCCTTAAGTTTTTATCCTTGGTTCAAACCTATAAAGATTGCATTTCCTGTTAAAGAGGATAAACCAACATGAAGACCAGAGAGCTGTCTATGTGAGAAAAGCAAGCCATTGTCAAGCTGAGAAAAGAAGGAAAATCAATCAGAGCCATTGGACAAACATTGGGCATAGCAAGCACAGCAATCCGTGCTGAATGTTTTAGTGAACAACGGTGTGGATTTGTGCATTTTACATGGAATAAATGTGGAGCTACCCTAAATTCCTTTCTCCTCCCCAGAGAAGAAGGGGAGGGGTCAAAGTTGCTTTCTCTAAGTGCTAGCCCGACCATAAAACTGGCACCTTTTTGATTCCGAAGCTGATAACGCGCCTGACTGTTAAACTGACAAAGGGACATGAGCCAGCCATTGGCATCTCCCTGAACAGCCTATCAAAACTGGCCCCCCCCACACACGTTTCCGTGGCAACTGACCTTATTCTTTGTTTTATTACCACATCAAAGGGATACTCCTTGTCTCACCTAAGTGTGACATGTTCCAGACACTGAACTTTGGATGACAGAGGACTGCAGTCTCCAAATACTCAAAGCATTTAATTAAATTTAATTAAATCTTTAGTTACCTGAATATGTTTGCCTCTATTTGAGTAGTTATGTTAACTGTTGTTGCTATCTGTTGTTGATATTAGTGCTGAAAGAAGTTACTTGTGCAGTGTTTTTATTTTCAGCAAGACACTCCTTCATCTGATGTAATCAATGCTTGTTCATAATACTTTCTTACAAAATTCCTTTAGAAATGATGACAAAGAAATGTTTTACTATACTCTTAATCGCCAGCTTGAATTTAAGGATGAATCAACAAATTCCCCGGTTCCTAAGGAGAGACGATCTTTGATTTAATCCAAGCTTTCCTCATGTAACCTGAGCTCCCCCAAGTCGACGAAATAAGTATTACATGCCCTCGTCGGAAATGCGGTTAAATGTATAAATATCCTGACCAATAATGTGACAATTGTTTCCTGTTACCAAATGCTTAGAACAGTACAACAGTTCAACCATTGAGGTTCGATTGTGGAAAATGTTTGATTATAATACGTGCAAATAGATTTCTTTTCTTTAGACATTAAGTTTAGAAAGGCAGTCCCTTGGGAAACCTGAGACGCCCCCTGGGGAACCACGCCCCAGACAACAAAAGAGCGACACGCGACCTGCTCTCTTCGCTTCGCTGTTGGCTCTCTTCCACTCTGTTCTGCTCTCTGGATGCTTCGGCACGCGCCGGCGTGCCGCGCCAGGCAACGCCCTCAGTCGACCAGCGAAACAAACAGGCCTTTGTTCGCCTGAAGCTACACACCTGAAGTGCCGAGACATCGATCTGCCTTCAGTTTGTTTTATTTTCTTTATTTCTTTTGTTTGTTAAAGTTATGAGTCCGTTAAGTTACACTGGACTAATTCAGGAACGACCAAGTTCCATTTTAAGCCTTTTTCGTCGAGCCAACTTCACCGAGGTCAGACCAAGCCACGTGGTCTCACCAGCTACAACGAAGGAAACCTGAAAACAGCCGAATTGCCAGACGGAGGAGGCGTTTTCAATCAGACACGGAAAACCCCGGACAATCCCTAGCAAAAAGCCAGGATCGGCAGCTAGTGTGGGACCCGTGCAACAGGCCAAAAGCAGACTGTCGACAAGCAGTAAGACTTAACACACGTCCTGTGATCAGATGTCCATTTTAACTCCTAAACTATAGCATTAGTTTACTCTCATTAGTTCTTCTATGCCGTATGAGTCAAATGCTTCCCACAGTCGAACCTCCAGGCTCATTGTTCAGCAAATGTTTGTTCCCTGTATCCAACCATCTTTTTATCACCTTAGTTAGAGAATAATGTCACTGTAATATAATCAAGAGCTGTGTGTGTTGCCTATTTATAGTTCCTGCCAAGAGAATTGACCCTTTAGATATGAGACTGACTGACTGATTTAAGATAATTGAGCGATTATTAACTAACTGATCACTAGTAATAATTGTATAATTATTCAAAATACCTAGAGGTCCGGAGACTCTAGGATTATAACAACTCCGGTGGTGCCCTTAACGAGGAAAATTATTTTATGAATCTTAAAAATTCATAATTGGGTATCAATTCTCATAAATTTATTAAAATGCATAACTAATAAATTTAGGTCTACTACAATGTCCTGAAAAAGAAAGAAACTACTGGTGTTCTGAGCAACAGACGTCCAACAGGTCGGCCAAGGAAAACAACAGTAGTTGATGACAGAAATAGCGTGAGAGCTGTGAAGAAAAATCCCAAAACATCAGTAAGTGACATCAGCAACGACCTCCACAGTGCAGGGGTGAAGGTACCACTGTTCGCAGAAGACTCAGAGAGCAGAAACCACAAGATGCAAACCACTCATCAGCATAAGAATCGGAAGGCCAGATTGAAATTTGCAGAGAAGTACAGAGATGAGCCGCAAAAGTTCTGCAACACAATCTTATGGACTGATGAGACCAAGATTAATCTCTAGCAAAGTGATGGAAAGGCCAAAGTGTGGAGAGAGAAAGGAAATGCTTATGATCCGCAAGCTCATCTGTGAATCATGGTGGAGGTGATGTCATGGCTTGGGCGTGCATGGCTGCTTCTGGAACAGGCTCATTAATATTTATTGATGATGTAACTGATGATGGTAGCAGCAGAATGAATTTAGAAGTGGACAGAAACATTTTGTTTGCCAATTTACAGAGAAATGCATTGAAACTAATCGGGAGGACATTTATCATGCAGCAGGACAATGAGCCAAAGCACACTGCCAACAAAACAAAGGACTTCATCAGGGGAAAAAGTGGAATGTTTTAGACTGGCCAAGTTAATCAGCTGACTTTAACCCAACAGAGCTGCATTTCACTTCCTTAAGAGGAGTCTGAAGGGAGAAACACCCCGAAACAAACAAGAACTGAAAGAAGCTGCGGTAAAAGCCTGGAATAGCATCACAATGAAGAATGCATCAGTTTAGTGATGTCAGTGGGTCGCAGGCTTGAGGCAGTTATTGCAAGCAAGGGTTATGCCACCAAATATTAAATGTTATTTACTTTAAGATTATTTGTTCCTTTACTTTTGCTCACCCAAGAATGCTGTGGTCTAATACAAATGCTGAAACGTCCTGAGTTGTTTAACACATCTAGATGTGAATACCAGGAAATAAAAGCTGAAATTCTGAACTCTTGTCTCATACTAGACAAGAGTTCAGAATCTTTTGATCTTAAACCCAAATGTCTTCAGTGAACAACAAAAACAGGAATTTGCCTCACCGTTCCAATACTTTTGGAAGGGACTGTAGTTTTCCCTCATATTAGAAAAGACATTTCCACCGTAAATTGGAGCAGAAAATGTCTCCAGAATGTAGGAAATTACGAGTTTAATGCTCGAAATCTTCTGGGGAGGACCCCCACACCAGCGCATATATTTCTGCATCAAATATCTAATCTAAATAGTGTTAAAAATCTTTTGCAGCATCACGTCTCATTACTCAAATGTACCATCACAGCCCTCATCTGAGCCCTTATGTCCGTTCCGCTTTTCAACACAAAGTGACGCCCTTGACTGACCCGCTCCGCTCTGCAGCAGCTCCTCTCTAGTAGACCTACTTATACTCAGCACCAATTAGTGAACATGTTTGCAAGGCATTGTATGCATGCTACTAGGGCTGCAGCTAACGATGATTTTACTATTCAAAGCTTCTGTAGATTATTTCAATAATTCATCGATGCGTCGTTTAAGAAGTACTTTTGCTTGGCGGAGCCCCCCCTCCGGTAACGGGATCAACCCTGTGCACCTTTATAGGTGATAGATATTTATTGGTCTTTTCAATTCACACTACGTGACTGATCATGAGAGGGGGTTACACACTACACGAGCTGACAGCGGCTGTGTCACCTGACTCTGGTCTCCAAACCACGTTTTGTCAAGAAAACACACGTGAAATGAGAAATGAGCGATCCTGCACATGAAACAGCTGACTAATCGAATAAATGATTAACAGATTAGTGAACTACAAAAATAATCATTATTTGCAGCCTTACAGAGCATGTGAGTTTCACATGCTATCGTTAGCTAGCGTTAGCTATCGTTAGCTATCGTTAGCTACTCCCACTAGTTTACTTATGTTGTCATATATAAGATGGATGCTAGGCCACATGGAGATTGCCTCTGGGCCGGATGTGGCCCATGGGCCACCAACTGGATAGGGCTGGTGTAGGCTATTTGGGACAATGTAGATAAAACAAACACGGAGCTGCAGGAGGGGGTAATATTCTGAGAAAAACTCAGAGAATAAAGTCGTAAATTTACAAGAAAATATTTTGGCAGTATCAGTAGCAGTATAATGGGCTTTTGTGTAGTGAATTGGTGGAATGAGTCTGGCTAAGTTTGGTGTAGGTGCAGCTCTGTCCACAGTGACAGAGGGACACTGAGGTGGTCTGCTATTACTGTGAAGTGAAATAAGTCAGTGAAAACAAGAGGTTTTCTTTTCACATCCATCTAAAACTGGTTAAATTCAGAAAAAAAAACCATTTGAACCGTTGATTTTAACGCCAATCTGAATTGTGCAGAAAAGACATTATTAAGGGCTGTAAGTTTTAAAACCTCCATCAAATAGCTCTGGTCTTCACTGAGGGATATTCTGATGTGGTCTGCTATCACTGTGAAGTGAAATGATTAAATGGAAACAGAAGATTTTCTCCAAACATCGGTCTGAATTTCGTAAGCATTCTGTGAAAATTGTATTCTTTAGATACTTGTGTTGTCTTAAGCATTTCTTTCATTATTCATTAATTCAATCATTTCGGCCACACCGATTACATTGGGCCTTTCCGAAACTAGAGCCTCGCCACTTCCACTCCGACATGGAGTGAACTCTGGTCAGAGTCACCCTCACAGCCAAATCGAGCTCCCTAACCCGCGTACGGTTTAAATATAGCGGACAACTTTCAGATGAACTCTCTCCCCAGCATAAATAGGATGTGACGTTACAGGTGCACTCGCTGCTATAACATGTGTATCAAATAAACAACAGTGGTATTAAGATTCAGGATATTGATGTTGAGGAAAAGTGTGTTTTTTGCAATAACGAAACTGAAAGCATTTGTCATTCATTTTGTGTTTGTGTTGAATATTTCTTTAAGAACATGACTTTAGATATTTACAAAAATAAATATTATATTCTTTTATGAAAAGATTGATATTCAGTGTAAAGACAAGACCATATATTTGAACCTCTCTAACTTAGCCTGTATGAAAAATGTTACACTCACAAATACACCATTTCAATATAAATCATACATTATATTGAAGCATTATAGGCTATAGTCTGGAGAATTAAATATATAAAGACTTAGGCCAACTATTTTTCTTTAATGCCTTTGTTGCTTGTTATGTAGCCTAATCTCCCTGTGTATGAATACGGTTCAATAAAACAACCTTTGTATTGTCTATCAGTCGAGATCATTTTTTTTAATTAAACACACGTTTCCGACCTGTGAATGGTGATATGAAATGTTAGTGTAGTTTAGGAAGTTAAAAATCCTACATGTTAACCGGCAAAGTCACACGGGAACGCAAATTGAAAGAAAGGTCCCCCATCTTGCAGCAAAGGGTGTTACACACCTTCAACAAGCTAGAATCGGTGCTGACTCCGCATCAGAGGGTTTAACAACCCACTACCTGTCTGCCCTCATTGGTTTGGGATGGCACTCAATGGGGCGGAGTAGCAAGCAGTTCCGGAAAGGCCCATTGTGTTCAGCAGAAGCTCACTTTTAATTTGAAATAAAACAGCAGAAAAACAGACTGGCTTGACTGCTGTAAAATGGGAAAGACCTCGTGACAGGAATCTGGTGTGTAGGCCTACACTGGAACTTTATCTGATGGACTTTGACTCGACAGTGAATTTCACAGCCGATGTTTAATCCGAATTTAAAAAACACATTTTAAAAGATTTTAGAGTTGCTAGCCTAACTTTAAATGCAGGCATGAAAGGGCTAATAAATTTCGCCTTCAGGAACGAGGTTAATCAAGGAAACTTGTAACGTTAGACTACATTTCAGGAAACGCTCCTTCTACTGGCTGTAACAAAACACTGATGTCTCTAAACTGTTAACTAGATTTCAGATCATCTAGCATCTGATGAACCTGACACAGACGATAAATGTTATATCGTTTTAAACAGCATTTTCCCTCAGAAAGCTATTATAATATCTGGAAGTCTTTGCTCTGAGAACTCGACAAACTTTGGTTTCACTTTAAATAAATAACCCGATCCAGAACATCTGGACCACACAGCGGAGTTTCAGCAGTAAGACAACAACAGCTGGCTTCTACAGCCTTATACCTGGACTTCGTTCGCCTCTTTTCTGAAAATATAAACGGCTCGACTTACCTGTTGCAGTCCAATAAATCTCTGAAAACGAAAAGCTGCCTACGGGGGAGCGCGCGCAGTTAGGGGCCGTCTGCAAAGTGCAATAAGATCTACTTTAATTGTAAATAACTTTTGTTTCTCAACATAGAAATCTCAAACCAGTGTTATGCAGCTGCTGCTGTGCAATGTTTAAGGGTGGTCGCTGTCTATATCAGCAGTGGTTTGAAATTTCTATGTTGAAAAACAAAAACGTTATTCACTTAAAATGGATTGTATGTGCACTGCAGACGGTCCCTAACTAGAAGGGATACATTTATTTTGTTGTCGTGAAAACGGATGCACAAATCTAAGAGGAGACAAACCAGGGCTGTGTTTCTATAGAATTCTGTCCGATAAAGAAAACCCCGAGAGGAGGAGATTGTGGATTTGTGCCATTAAACATAACGTTACTTCTGTCTCCTGGGAGGGCAAACAATGTCAACCGTCCAAATATACACGTATTTGCAACGAACACTTAGCTCAAGCAACGTTAAACACAAGTAGCCTACATAAAGTGTTGAGCAGTTGTGCGCAACCCCATCAACGCATCCGGATGTCAAGCAAGACTTCAGTCATTATCTCTCCTTAGCCTCTTTGACAGGCACATTAAATTTAAGAAAGCGAACACTGTTGTCCATACACATGCGCTACATAGAGCGTAGTGACATCACATCAGGGCGTAACAAGTTTTACTACCGTCCCAGATAGCAAAAATCATGTGGCCCAGATCTGGCCTAGATCCTTCATAAGTTCTGGGCCAGATCTGTAAAACGGACCCGGGCCGGTGTCCTTTAGCACAACGGGCCAATGCACTGGGCCAGCTCCATTTATTAGTTCTGGCCTGGATTCACACCACCTCTGGCCTCTTTCATAACCTTGATCTATACCCACAAAACATATACAAAATATGATTTTTTTTGTTAAAGCGATAGTTAAAATTTTTACCATCAGATGTTGTGCATGACTCACCAAGTGCTATGGATCCTACTACTAGATAACAGTGAAGTATACCCTTTCTGTCTGAGAAGCCAAAGGGTTACTGGGATAGTTTCAACCACAGAACTTATGGCAGGAGCTGGTCTATATAATGTATAAGAAATAGTGACTTGTATATCACTAAGGTACACTAAGATTTCTTGTTTTACTTATGTTTTCATTTTCCTTGCATTTTAAACTCGATTACTTTTTTCTTTTGAATTTAAAAAGCATGGACAGTCAAAACTACTGTTACACTCTGTTACAAAGACTGTTTCTATTTGTCCTACACAGAATTTCAACAAAGAAAGTGATAGAACGGATGAGTGACACATTTTAAATTTTATTTAAAATACACATTTTAAATTTTATTTGAAGAATAAAAAGAGAGGACAGAAACTTAAAACAAAGTAGATAATTGCCAAACTAACATTCAATCTAATAAACACATTTTACAGCTCATTTCTGTCTTTAACAACTGTAGGAACAAGAAACTTCACTCCAGTTGACTTGCAGGTGCAGGTGATTAGTTTCTAGTAACCGTACAGTAACCACACACCTATGACACAGGTGTTATTTTTAAATGAATGCAGAAGTATTAAACTCTAATAATAGCAACAGTGTGGCTTAGTTAAAAAGCTCAATACATTGACATTGCTATCAGTCTTGCATAGTGTAGTGTACCATTAGTAATGATGATAGTAAGAAAGTAAGATTTGCTTTCTCCCTGAGAGAGATGAGAAGATATATAGCACATTCATGATACCATACTCTACATATAAAGCTAAAGCCAGGAGACACACGAGATTCTACGGCCTAAACACACAAGATAACGTTTTAATTAGCGACAAGCGATAAGTTTGTCTTGATAGATGATTACTGCCAGCCATTTAGATTTTAACCATTTTCCGTGACCATGTTATAAATAACAAAGATTTTATAGCCAAAATACAATATCCAACTCCAACTAGTCATGTGAAACCCAGAAAAAACCCCAGTGGTAGTAACGTTATGTACAAAGCGTGCAACAAAAAAATGTGAGGCAAATTAAAAAGAATGAGTAATGCTGATTGTACCACTGCCAGCCATCTCAGTGTACTGATATCATGAACCTCATTGTAATTTTTAACTGTAAAATTTGATGAATTACTGAGAACCATCAGCCTCTAGACAAAACAAATAACATTTCTTACAGCTCCTGACAGAAATCTGAGGGTAAACACTTGGTAAGCTTAACATAGCACACTATATCCCTCGGAAAACGCCCCAAATAAATATCCAGAATGAATCAGGAACTGCTCCTCAACCATAATACCGCAGTGTGATTTCATACAAAGTCAATGAAAAGACACGGAGAGAGGAGATTTCCCGCCCATAGACCTTATTTGTCATAATGAATTTACGTTTTGATTAATGTCAGATGAAAATTCCAACTTCTTTAGATGGCTTTGATTTTTTAAACACTTAACTTACCTATCATAACTTTATAACGTTATGCTCAACTATAGCCAAGATCAAATCAAAGCCAGAAAAAAATACTTAAATTAACTTAACTAACCCTATTAATCCCGGGCTCTCAGCCAGGGGTGAAGAAAAGACTGAACCTAAAAAGGAGACAGGTGCTGTCAGTTGGTGCTGTTGGAAACTAACGTTACAACATCGTTGTAAGTTAACTAACGTTAAACAGCATTAATGTTTTAAGCTAGCTGCACACAAAGTTGTTTATTAATGCTAGCTAGCTTAACTATCCGTTCATTCGGTTAATTTAGCTTGTCCAGCTAAAAAGCTAACGTTAGCCAATGCCTCTTCAACAGTTTTAGCCATTTTAAGAAGTTAAAACCCGGTCAAAACATTCCGATGTGATGATGTTAATGATGTTAACAAGCATTACACCGCTATTAAAAACACTAAACTCACTAAACTGTTTGACTGAAACATCGTTCAACTTACCGTTATAAACTCTTTCCACAAAGCTTCCAGTCCGAACTGATCCAAAGAAAGAAACAGTTCGCGCGCTCGTTCCGACGGCCCCTGGCCAGAACAACTACGATTCCGCCGCCTGACTTCTGGTCCGGTATGAACCGGTTCGAAAGAGAAAAAAAGAAACAATTCGCACGCTCGTTCCGACGAGTCCGGGCCAGAACTATTATGATTCCGCCGACTGATGGATGCTCACGCCCACTCCTGAGTGCACACAGACTACATGAATATATAATATAATATAATACTATCTGGAACGGGACAGTAAAAACGGGCGTGACTGTTACACGGATCTGCCGGTTTGGAGGCGGATTCGGCCCAGAGTCAGCTGCTATCTGGGGTATTACACTGAGTAAGGGCGCCATCAGATAGTAACACTGAACAACACTCAACATAAAGGTATAATAAATAGGCCTATCGTATTTTTAGCCATAACATATCTTTATGTAATCAGTTTGACATAGTTTGTTGTTTATCGAGGCGACCAACTGCAGTGGTCGAAGTGAATTAAGGTTAGCGAACCGTCGTTAGCTAACGTTAAGTTAAATTGTTGGATTGTTGTGTTGAGCTAATGATACACGGAGTAACCTCCTGTACCTCCTGTAAGAAAACCTCCTGTTTCCACTGACTGATTTCACTTCACAGTGATAGCAGACCACCTCAGGGTGACCCTTGGTGAAGATCCGAAATACACTATGTTGCAAAAGTTTATGTACACAACATGGTTAATGAAATCCTATTCTTAATCCGTAGGGTTTAATATGGAGTTGAACTATCCCTTGTAGATTTTTATGCCTCTTGTTATTTTTTACATTTGTGTAGGTGGCTTTTGAAGTGAGTTGAAATCCAATACTTACATTTATAGGTAAAATCCAGGGGGCCACAACCAACGCCATGATTTATGCTGGGACAATCAACCCAGCGTAAATCAATCAAGAACACTGATATTTGCTAGCCTGACGCCTGAGCTACTGTCTCTTAACTAATCAGTTTATTGTTGTCTTCCTGACAAGGACAAGTACATGTAAGAAATACATGTCAGAAACACTCTAAGCTAGACCTGTTTTACCTTTCCCTGTTACATCAATTAAGACACTTAAGAAATATTCTCAACAGTAAGATTTGCAGATTGATTATCTAATTAATTAAGCAAAGCGAGAGGAGCCTTGATCCTCACCTGACAATGCCTTTTTAAACTTCATGTATTATGTGGTTTATAATGGACTGTGGTGCAGAAACAGCGAGGCTTACATTTTTCAGTTATCTTTCAGTGGTCATACTTGATGCACTAGATGTGATAGTTTTTTGAGATGTTCTTCATTTACTTTGGTATGTTAGTCCAGATGAGCCAACCCTCCCAAGATGTAACAAAAAGTATAATTACAGTACAGTAAAATAATGTATTACAGGAGTATGAGACATCATGTAGCACTTCATTTCTTGATGTGGCTGTTGTTTAATGAACAAGTGACAATAATATTCACTATAGCATATGTTTTTACTGAATAATCAAGTCAAAATAATTTCATAATATATCAATCTAATGCAACCTGATTTCTTGACTGGCAACTCTCTGCTATCTCACAGAGGACATCTTTGTCCTGTCTCAGGCGCCGTAGCTATACAACTCGCTTGGATAGGGGAGGGGGGATGCAATTTGCAACTCTAACCACTAGATGCCACTAAAATTAAATGGTTCGTGGCGGAGGTAGAGTAGGTTGGCCGTTAATCGGAAGGTCGGCGGTTCAATCCCGGATCCCCCAGGCTGCATGTCAAAGTGTCCTTGGACAAGATACTGAACCCCAAAATTGCCCCTGGCAGCTGTTCTGCCACTGTATGAATGTGTGTGAATGTTAGTTTCTGTTTGAGCACTTAGTGTGTGAATGGTGAATGCAGATGTAGTGTAAAAAGCGCTTTGAGTGGTCGAAAAGACTAGAACTATACAAATACGGAGCATTTACATTTGCATTACATAACATGACATAAAAAACACAATATTCCATATTGTCAGGTGTGGCATTTTACTCCTTTGCTGTAGGGTCCACATAATTAACTAATTTAAAAATAAACACAACAGAAACAGAATTTTGAATTTTTTTTTAATGATTTCTAAGTAATAAAAAGAATCTTATAAATGTACCTAACTGACACAGCACTCACAGACAAACCACAAGTACACGGACAAAACAGATTGACATACAGACCTAAACCAAAACCAAGCACGTGACAAACACCCTACACAGACGATTTCAAAATAAGACAGGAGAACGGACTAAATGGACAGATACACAGACCAGGATGAATGAAACAGAAGACAGGATCGATCCAAACGGGAAAAGATGAACTAGAGAACAGATCTAAGAACTAAGACACAGAACTAGGACTACACACAGACATGAAAGAAACAGGACTAAAAGCTAAGACAAGAAAGCAGGAATGACATGAACTGTTAACATAAGAATAAACTAAACAGAGGAAATCAGAGAAAAACACAAGACATGGAACAAGAACCCCGAACCATGTAAACCGACTGAAACAAGAATCAGAACCACTGAACAGACAAGGCAAAAAGACTACAAACACAGACCAAAACCAGACAAGACAGGAAACAGACTGAAACAACATTCAAAGTACAGAACAACTCAGGCCAGGATATATTATTCCATTATTCCGATAGAATATTCCGTCTGTTTCTTTAAGTAAATTAAAATTGATATTATTTAATTGTACATCACTTTGGCAGTATGATCTCAGTAATCAAATCAGTTTTATTTTTATAGCCCAATGTCAAAAATCACACATTTTCTCTAAGGGGAGACTTTTGGACAACGAAAAACTCCCTCAAAGCCCTTTAACAGGAAAAAAATTTTTAAGAAACCTCAGGAAGAGCAACTGAATGAAAAGAGGACATGAGGGAGAAACTAGGGAGAGAGACAGGTGTTGGTATTGTGCTTGCAGGGCCAGGGGTATTGGACTCGGGGTGTCTGAGGCTAAGGGCCCTCATGTGAGGAGGGCCCACAAAGATACTAACAAATTGCCGTGGATGTGGGGAGGGGCTAATAGAGCATGCTTATGTACAAGGCCCAGATATTTGTGCGACGCCCCTGTGCAGGACTCAAACAAACAGAGAGTGACAGAGACTCAGTTGGTACAGTATTCTCATCCGCAGCACAAATATGGACTATAAGCACTTGGCTTTATAGATACCGACCCGCCAGAAGGATAAAGGTAGCAGGACCTTTGTAATGTTGGGGACAGACAGGAGATTTGATTGCAAATACTGTATATATGAGATCAATTCTTCTGTTCAAAGCCCAAAAGCATAAAAAAATTGGGGAAGAACTGCAAACCTCTTCGGTTTGTTCCATCAAATCAATTTCTTCATCATCACATGCTTAGTTAGTAGCCATGATCGTTGCTAGCTCCAGCCATAGTGATACAGTACATGTTGAAGGAAGCTCAGGAAAATTAAAAGTGGTTTAGCTTGCTCTAAATACTTTGTGCCTGGGGCATGTGGCAGTGACAAGTGGTTTTTTGATAGTTTGAAGGTTTTTTAAAAATCAATTTACATGGCCTGCAAAAAGTGCGACCGCTCAGTCCGCCTTCTTATGTACCTTTATCTTCTTGCCTCCTCTCTTCTTTGAGGCTCTTCTGTTATCTCTGTTCCAAATGTTCCAATATGTTCCAATTTCATATCCAGTGGTAGCTCCCGGCGATGTCCCGCCTCCCTGGTCTCCCTCCAGTCGCTGCGCAGTATCCGTCTCGGCGTGTCCCGGCCACGGGAAAACCGACAGCCAATCAGAAGGCTCTATTTGTTCCTGCGCTGACAAACTGCCTGGGAGCCCCTCCTCCCCTTCAATCAGTGGTGAACCAGGTGGAACAAATCTTCCAGGCAATCTGAGCGTGCCAGTAGCTGGCTCTGTTGTTGTCTTTAGACCGCAGTGGAAGGAGCATTTATAGCACCACAAAACCAAGGAAACTTGATCTTTGTCATTAAAGTGATTGTGCAAGACCAAGCCCCCCACAAAACTGAAGGACAGCCGGTAAGCGCCATATTGGCCATATTTTGGCTAGATTGACTTAAGCAGTGCAGTGCTAATGATGCTCTGGTAAAACACAGACTCTTAACTCTTGCTGACTTTGATAGGACTTTTTGCAGTGGTATTTGTAACTTCAAATGTTGTTTGGTTTTATCAAACAAGTGGGGAAAAGGAAAGATAAGAAAATATACATTTTGAAAATTAAAATACCAACATATCTAGTTGTGTGGCTATGATACCTTTTATAATAACTCTTTACTAGAAATATACAGCTTAAAACTAATGATTAGAAAGTAAATAGAATTTTTTTACTACTAAAATATTTTGTATTGCATTTGGCTAAAATGTGAATTTGGCTAAAAATATACTAATTCTGATCATTGGATTTAAAATTATGGGTATTTATTTGGATAACATTTACTTTAAAATTGGAAACGTTGTAACTTATAATGGCAGAAATGTGTTTATCTGAGTTAAATGTGAATAATTTTATTTTGGCTATCAACTCGGATAAAACTTGTATTTGTCATCTCTCTTTTGAGGTTTTTCAACTGCTTACTGCCCACCAAAGATTGGTTAATAAAAGACAAACAACTGATCCCATGGCTGTTGAGTGAAATCCAGTTAATATCTTACCAATTTCATAGTATCAAACTTTTGCGCATCCAATGAGAGACGCGGATTTGTTCCAAATTCTCAATGTCCCGCCTCCATTCTGCTGGTTTACCGCTGCGCGAGGGGCTCCACATCTCTGGAGTCCTTCCACCTCAACGGGTTCATCCCAGGTACCTTAATGTGTCTTGTGATGATTAAATATTCTGAATTCACACTTCATGCACAAGTAATTACATTTTTGTTCCACAACCTACTTCCTCAGGGACCCGAGCTAAAGCGAAGCATTTCCAGGCGTTCCTGGCCGATGGACTGGTGAGGTGGAATGAGGACCGCGCAGCTGCACCACCGACTGCAGCTGAGGGCCAGGTGGCGCCTCTGCACACCTACAGTGGTGGTTTTAGTGGTTAAGGACTTCACCAAACCTGCTGCGTATTTAACAAATCCTTCCTGTTGTTGCTGTGTGACAGGGGAGCTCATCGGCATGGAGTTCCTGTACCAGCAGACGGGCAGAGTGCTTGAGGATATCAGCTTTGGACCCTGACACTCCGGACGAGGCCACTGCCGTTGAGTCGCTCGAGGAGGCCGTGGACGAGACTATGTGAAGGACCCCACCGTCTTCGAGCCTGATATGGTGGCAGCAGGCGGGTCAGGTGATCCAGCTGACCCTCCCAGACTCCGGGTGAGGCAGCCCAAGGGGCGGTTCAAGGCAGCGAAGG